TATATGTATATAATTTTATTATTATTATTTTTATTTATAATTATTATTAGAAATATTTTATTTAATTATTTATATAATTTTTTTTTTTAATATAAACATTATATTGGAGTATTTATCATACCAAGTTCTGTTCTAATATAACAAAATTGTTCTTCATTTAGAGGCTTGGTAAATATGTCAGGTAATTGACAATTTGTAGGTACAAATTCGAGTTCAATGTCACCTTTGAGTACATGATCTCTCAGGAAATGATGCCTTATTTCAATGTGTTTAGTGCGTGAGTGCTGAATAGGATTTTTTGAAAGGTTAATGGCACTTGTGTTGTCACATTTTATTGGAATATGATCATAGTGAAGTCCAAAATCTTGAAGTTGTTGTTTCATCCAAAGCAATTGTGCACAACACCCAGCGGCGGCAATGTATTCTGCTTAGCAGTTGACAGAGCCACTGAGTTTTGTTTTTTGCAAAACCAAGAGGTGAGTGAGTGTCCAAGAAAATGACAAGTTCCACTAGTGCTTTTTCGGTCAAGTCTGGCCTCGGAGTCAAGGGCATCTGAGTAACCAAAAAGTTCAAAGGTGGTTCCCTTAGGATACCATAATCCCAAATTTTGAGTGCCGACAAGATATCTGAAAATGCGTTTGACTGCGGTGATGTGTGACTCTTTCGGTGCGGATTGAAAACGTGCACACATACAAACACTAAACATTATGTCGGGCCTACTTGCAGTAAGATAAAGTAAAGAACCAATCATACCTCGATATTTCTTCTTATCTACGGGTTTACCTTGCTCATCTTTGTCGATTTTTATCGATGTGCTCATTGGAGTTGCTGCAGGCTTTGATGATTCCATTTCAAACCTTTTGAGTAGATCTTTGATATATTTTGTTTGATTTAAATGGATTCCATCATTAGTTTGTTTAATTTGTAGACCAAGGAATTAATTTAATTCCCCCATCATACTCATTTCAAACTCACTCTGCATGTCTTTAGCAAACTCTTTGCACAAATTTTTATTAGTAGCACCAAAAATGATATCATCAACATAAATTTGAACAATTAGCATATCTTCTTTTTTGATTTTTATAAAAAGTGTTGTATCAATTTTTCTCTACAAAAACCTTTGTCAAGTAGAAAATTACTCAATCTTTCATACCATGCTTTAGGAGCTTGTTTCAAGCCATATAAAGCTTTTGAAAGTTTGAAAACATGATTCAGGTATTTATGATTTTCAAAACCAGGAGGTTGTTCAACATAGACTTCCTCCGAAATGTACCCATTTAAAAAAGCACTTTTAACATTCATTTGATATAATTTAAAATCTTTAAAACACGCAAAAGCAAGTAATATTCTAATAGTTTCAAGTCTAGTAACTGGTGTAAAAGTTTCATCAAAATCAATTCCCTCTTCTTGATTATAGCCTTGAGCTACTAATCTAGCTTTATTTCTAGTAACAACTCCAGATTCGTCCATTTTAT